CTCTAAGCTGGAGAGCAAGTTTCAGAGGCTCCTCTGACATCCATTTTGACCTCTTCCTTCTTTCTTGTCTTCTTAATGACTTTTTGCTCTCTTCATATATGATGTTCTTGATGTCATCCCACAACTCCTCTGGTCTTCGGTCTTTAGTGTTTAATGCATCAAATCTGTTCTTCAGATGATCTATCATTGTTACTATAGAGGAATCCTACTGATTTTTGTATGTTGGTCTTTACCCTGCCACTTTGCTGAATCTTCCAATGATGCCTAGTAGCTTTTTTACTGAGTCTTTGGGGTTTTCTATGTAAAGGATCATATAGTCTGCAAATAGAGTTTTATTTCTGCTTTGTCAATTTGGATGCCTTTAATTTCCCTATCTTGCCGTATAGCTCTGGCTAAGACTTCCAACACAATATTGAAAAAGACTGGTGACAAAGAGCATCCTTGTCTGGTTCCCATTTGCAGAGGGAAGGCTTTCATTTTCTCTCCATTGAGAATGATGTAGGCTGTTGGTTTTGTATATATGCTCTTGATTATGTTGAGGAATTTCCCTTCAATTGCTACTTTGTTGAGTGGTTTTATCAGGAATCGATGTTGGATTTTCTCAAATGCCTTTTTCTACATCATTCGATATGGTTATGTGGTTCTTTTTATTATGTTATTAATGTGGTAGATTACACTGATTGTTTTCCTAATGTTGAACCATCTTTGCATCCCTTTTATGAATCCCACTTAGTCATGATGTATTATTTTTTTATGTGCTGCTGGATTCTGTTGGCTAGGATTTTGTTGAGAATTTTTGCATCTATGTTCATGAGGAATATTGGTCTGTAGTTTTCTTTCTTAGTGATGTACTTCTCTGGTTTTGGTATGAGGGTTATGCTTGCTTCATAAAAAGTATTAGTTAGTTTTCCATCCTCTTCTGTATTCTGGACATTTTTTAGAAGAATTGGTGACAGTTCTTCCCTGAAATTTTGGGAGAACTTACCCATGAAGCCATCTGTGCCTGGAATTATTTTTGCTGGGAGCTTTTTGGTGACCTTATTGGTTTGTTCAAGTTTTCTACTTCACTTTGTGTAAGTTTTGGTAGGCCATGTTTTTCTAAAAATGCATCCATCTCTTCTAAGTTTTCGAATTTGTTGGAATACAACTCTTCGTAGTATTCTGTTATTATCCTTTTGATTTCATTTGGTTCCATTGTGCCTTTTGATTTCATTTGGTTCCATTGTGACATCACCCATGTGGTTTCTAGTGTGAGCTATTTGTGTCCTCTCCCTGTTTTATTTTGTTAGGTTTCCAGTGGTTTGTCAATTTTATTAATCCTTTCAAAGAACCAGCTTCTTGTCCTGTTGATTCTTTTTATAGTTTTTCTGTTTTCCATCTCATTTATTTCTGCTCCTATCTTTATTATTTCTTTTCTTTTGGTGATTTTACCTTCCTTCTGTTGGTCAGTTTCTAATTTTGGAGATGCTGTTTTAATGTGTTAATTTTTGGTTCTTTCTTCTTTTGGATGTGCACATTTATCGCAATAAATTTTCCTCTCTGCACCATTTTCACCATGTCCCAAAGATTTTGGTATGTTGTGTTTTCATTATCATTTGTTTCTAGGAACTTTATGAATTCACGTTTAACATCTTCTTTTATACAGTTGCTTTTCAGCAGGGTGTTGCTCAGTTTCCATGTATTCAACTTTATTTCCTTAGTCTTCTTATTGTTGATTACTTATTTTATAGCATTGTGGTCTGGTAAGATGCTCTGTAGTTTTTTGATGTTATAAATTTATGGAGACTTGCTTTGTGACCTAACACATGGTCAATTCTGGAGAATGTTCCTTGTGCACTGGAGAAGAAAGATATTGTGTTGTTGTTGGGTTGAATGCTCTGTACACGTCTATGAGGTCAAATTGATTGATTGTGCTGTTTAGTTCCTCTGTAACTTTGTCAGTTTCTTTCTGGTTTTTCTGTCTCTTTTCAAAAGTGGTGTATTAAAATCTCTCACTATAATTGTAGATTTATCTATTTCTTTCTTCATTTCTAGTAAAGTGCTTCATGTATCTTGGTGCTTTTTCATTGGGAGCATAGATATTTATTATGGTTATGTCATCTTGCTCAATTGACCCTTTGTTCATGAGCTAGTGTCCTTCTTTATCTCTTATGCTGGTTTTTGTCTTAAAGTTTACTTTATCAGAGATTAGAATTGCCACTTCTGCTTGTTTATTGTTGCAGTTAGCTTGGTATATTTTTTCCAATCCTTTAACTTTTAGTCTGTTTTTGTCTTTGTGTGTAAGGTGTTTCTCTTGCAGGCAGCATTTTGAAGGGTTTTGTTTTCTTCTCCAATATGCCACTCTCTGTCTCTTCACTGGTGCATTCAATCCATTGACATTCAATGTAATTATCAATAGGTATGAATTATTTGCTGCCACTATATTAATTTTTTGGTAGTGCAGTTCATTCCTTTGTTGTGCATGCCTTCTTGTGCTGAGTTTGTGTTTTTTGTGCTATTTCTTGTCAATTTCTTTTTATATTTCATGTTTGTTTGTTCTGCTTGGAAGTTCATTTTCATGGTAACTTGTGAAGTATTAACTTTCTTTGGGGTTACCTTATAGTTTATTAACTTTTCTCTCCATTTAAGAGAATCTATTGTACCCTGTAATCTACCTGACATCCTCACCACCTGGATCTCTGTTCCTACATTTATCCCTTCTTTGACATTGATATTTTTTTGAGCTTTGTTTGACCTCCCAGCTCCTTTGAATTTGTTGTTGTTGTTTTGTTCTGTCTTAACTCTGCTGTGAACTGAATTCCAGGTGGTGTTTCCACACCTGTCAATCTCTGGATGTTGTCTGTTCTTGTTGGTTTTTAGTCCAAAGAAATCCCTTTAAGATGTTTTGAAGTGCTGGGTTGGTTTTGACAAAATCTCTTAGCTTCTTTTTATCCTGGAATGTTTTGATTGCTCCATCATATTTGATTGATAGTTTTGCTGGATAGACAATTCTTGGTTGGCAATTTCTTATTTTCTTTTAGGGTTTTTAATATGCATCCCCATTGCCTTCTTTCCTGCATGGTTTATGCTGAATAGTCAGAGCTTAATCTGAGTTGCTTGCCTTTGTAAGTGACACTTCTCTTCTCCCTGGCCACTTTTAGGATTCTTTCCCTGTCTTTGATTTTGGAGAGTTTGATTATTATATGCTTTGGTGTCTTTCTTTTGGGGTCTATCCTTCCTGTGGTATGTTTGGTTTCTTGAATATTTATCTTCTCATCTTTCAAGATGTTAGGGACATTTTCTTCCAGAAGTTCTTCAACTATCTCCTCTGTGGACTTCTCTGATTCTTTTCCAGAATGCCAATAATTCTTAAGTTGTTCCTATATGTGTTATTCAGCACAATTCTTAGACTCTCTTCAGATATTTTTATCCTTTTGTTCTACTTGCTCTTCTATTTTAACAGTATTGAGAAATTTGTCTTCCAGCTCGCTAGTTCTGGCTTCCATTTCTTCTATTCTGCTCCTTTCCTTTTCAGTGTATTGTCCATTTCTGATATTTTATTATTAAGCATCTGGACCTCTTTTTGCAGGTTTTGAATTGTTTCCAATGCTGTATCAATTTTGTTTGATTGCTCTTGTAGTACTTTCCTGACTTCTTCCTTGTTTTCCTTCACCTCTTTTCAAAGCATTTAAATTTGTTTCCATATCATTATTCTTAATTCCTTCTCAGGCAAATCTAAAACCTGCTCTTCCTCTTCTGGCAAGCCTTTGTCTGTCTCCACCACATTTGTGTCAGTTAATATTTTCTGGTTTTGGATATGTTTTGAGATAGTTTGTTTTGTTTGAGATCTCTTGTCATTTCCAGTAGTTATGTGGGTTTTTTTAATGCTTAAAGGGATGTTTGTTGTTGTATTATTAAGTTTCCTGGGTGTCTTCTGGTGGATATCATCAGGAAATCATATCCATTTTCACATGTTATGCTTCTCAGCTGTTATTGGCTCTTGTCTCAATGGTGGAATATTATGGGGTATGCTTGTAGCTTGGCTATATGGCCACAATTTCTGTCTTTTCTTGGGTAATGTAGGGAGAAAAAACTCCCACCTCCAGGAAAAATATGTGATCAAAAGGACCAAAATCAGTAGCAGTATAAGAGCAGAGACAAAAACCACCACTTTTAAACAAAAATAAAACTGTGACCAGTCACCTTCCTACACAGGCAGTGTGTGTGCACGGTAGAAGCCTCCAGCAGTGGGTGGGGGTATCCACTCAATCAGGCCCCTCCTCTAGTCACCACCAAGGAGGTGTGCAGATAGATATAGAGAGACACATTGATGGGAGAAAGATTGTCTCCTATTTTTGTCTCTGAAGGTCAGTTAGGTCAGTTAGGTATCTGCATGTGCACAGCATAATTCTTGAAATAGTTGCATCCTTTTATGTTGGGGTTTTACAGATTGTTCTGTGGTTTGTCTGTCAGGCCTCATAGGTCTGTTTTTTCTTGCTATATAGGTCGGAGTTGTGTGTAAGCATTTTTTATTAATGTTTTCCCACTGGGACTCAGATGCCCTCCCTCTGAGCATCCCCATAACTTGGGAGGAAGAGGAGTAAGAGAAAAGAAGAGTCACAACAATTTTAGCAGTAATACTTCAGAGATACTTAGGGATGACAATAAATCATGTGGGGGATCATAAGAATGGAGTGGTGGGAACCAGTCTTGCCCCTCTCCTGACTCCTTGCACAACTGTTCTAAGTCATCCTTTGAGCTTTAGGACTAAGTGGTAGTCAGAAGCCTTAATGATCTGAAGAGCTGCATCCCTTTATTTTGCCTAAAGGAATACTGTGGAACTTGAAAACTACTTGCTGGCTGGGTAAAAATTTGAGAGAATCACTTTTCTAGATGAATTTTGCAAGTATCCACTGATGTACTGAATTATGGGAACATGAAAATGAATGACAAGTGAGTTTAAAAGCATGCAAACACTATATATACTACTGACAGATGGGTGGCAACTGGACTTTATCTTGGTGCCTCTTTGCAGGGCTATCTTCCCTCCCTTCTCACACCCTTTCCACTCTTCTGCCCAAGTTCAAGATTTGAGGCAGTGATCAAGCTCCATGGCATAAGAATCGGTATTCCTCATGATGCTCTCCACCAACATGACTGGCTTCGGGTTTCTTCCAGCAAAGCAAGAAAGCCAAGTGCAGATCAGCATGGCTGCAGCTGCTCCACCTCCAGCACAGTAATAGGCCCAGCCAAGCTGACAGGTACCTGGGGAAATAGAGACCGAGATAAACATCAGGGTTGGGTTGTTTTCTCATTGGGAAGTTAGGACTGGAGTGAAAATAGGAAATAGTGACTGTGACTGGTCACCCAGTTTCTTTTCTTCCTAAGTCTTGGCTTTGGAAAGAGATTATAAAATTGCTACCTCCTGTTATGGTAGGATCCTGGGTGTGGCAGAGGAGGTGGCAATGCTGACAACAAAGATAAAGATAAGAATTACTTTACTAGGTGTCAAGTGCTATGCTTTCAAAGAGACATAGCCTGCATTACCAGTATTTCTGACAAATAAAATCAAATCTCTTGCTTCCTACTACATGTCTCTATTCTAAACTGACCTTTCAAAACACAGGACTCAAGGCTAAACTTCGAAAGGAGTACTTTCAGCTTGAAAAATAATGGGAAAGACTACCTGATTGAAAACATCCTCCCAACATCTTTAATTATATCAAATGTAGATTCCTTACTTTGAAGAATTTTGGGGGTCTTCAGGGTCCCCTCAAAAAGTATCAGAAGGAGATATTTTATTTTAAGGAGTTGTCAGAGTAACTGAATGCTAAAACCATGACCAGGAAAATTAAAGTAGGTGCTCAGTGATACAAAATTGCAGAGGAGTCCTCAGGAAAGAAGTAGGCAGGCACCTTCACCTACTTCACAGTCTTTCAGAAAGCTGGTCCTGGGGCTAAGACTGATCTTCACAATGATCTACTCTTTCAAAAAACTAAATTCAGTCAAATAACTAATTGTTTCTGTCCTCATGATGCCAAGTGAACTTGAATTTTCCTCCTTCCAATTGATTTTTTGGTAGAAGAGTAGAAGATGGCTCCAAGTTAGACTCTTTTGCTTTTTGATTCAGGCCAGTCTACTTTAACTCAAATTTTCTGTCTCAGAAATAGTATTTCTACCACAAAGTCATCATTCATGCGATCACTCCTGTCAGAAACATCTCTCCTTTTTCACCAATTCATATTTTCTCCAGATCAATACTACTCAGCACCTCCAGAAAGCCTTCCCTGATTAGCTCTAGTGGGTTCAAGCCACCTTAACCAAGTAACCCTATACAAACTCATTTCTACAGCTCACATATAGCTGTCTGTACCTGTTGGAAGAAAAATAAGGAGAAAAATTTGCATTTCACTTTTTTTTTTATCTGCTTTTTCCAGATGGTTGGTTCAGCAGTGTGGATGCATTTGTCTATTTTTCTGATTAACTCCTCAGAATGTTCTGCCAAAAATTGGTACTCAGAATGAGTGATTTAGACTAACAATACTTTAAGATGGGTACACTTGCATTTTCAATCCTCAACACCGAAAACTATGGCTTACATTATGAATTTAAAAAATTTTAAACCAGCCAAAGCTGTATTCTCTTTGTTTCTGGAATGTGTCACGGTCTTTCTCAACATGCACATTTTTAAAAATTCTGCCTGAAATGTTTACTACATATGTACCTGTAAACACATAATATCTGCCTATTCAATGTTCAGTCATTCATCAGTGTTATGCCTCCAATAAAATTACTTAATTAAACCTTTCCCTAACCTACCAAAGTCACATTACCTTATCAGAGGTTCTCATATCACCATAAGTTTTTCCTTCTTGTACTTGCATAAATGGCAAATTGAATGAATACTTTATCTCTTCCTATAGTATTAATCAAGCCATACTCCTTTAAAGGAGCTATTACTATAGTAATGGCTAGAGCAATGTAGTGCTGTAGGATCAGCACTGGACTGCTAACCACAAGGTTTGAAATCCAAACCCACCAGTTACTCCTTGGAATCCCTATACAGGATCACTATGAGTCAGAACTGACTTGACTGCACTTAACAACAGGGCAGTCATATAACTTTCTGAGATCCCATGTCCCACTGAAGATCATAGTGATAACTAGAATATAACAGCTATAAAAACAATGCAATTTTCAGAGAGAAAGGAGAGCAGTTTTGAAGAGAAGTTTCCTTAGAAAATAAAACACACTCAACATATCCTCAACATGAAAACAATAGTAGGTGTCTGGGAATGATAAACCAGAATCAAGGCAAACAGTCAATAGATCACAAACAAATACAAAACTAAGGTTTTGCATAAGGCATTAAGTTTCACAGATTGGAACTTTGAAAGACTTCAACTTCTGCAGTCTCTGAAATGCTGCAAGCTTTATTGTAGCCACTTCACAGGCAGGACTTTGATGCTTAGGTGATAGTCCCAGACACTCTGTTGGAAGCAGAGAGGTAGGAACAAGGGACCAGACCATGTCTCTTTATGCTCAGCCCCATGCTCTTCCTTCTAGTGATTTTCTCATCCTGAAAAAGCAATTCCTTCTTACGTTGTTGTTCTTAAGTGCTGTTAAGTCAGTTCCAACTCATAGTGACCCTCTATAAGGTTTCCAAGAGCAACTGGTTAGTTTGAACCACTTACCTTGTACCTCAAACAGTCGTTATAGAGGACCCTTGAAACTATAAGCCCGAAAGATATGGCAACAAACTAATAGACCCACCTAAGCTTTCCCCTAGCCCCTTCAACCAAAATCTCTTATCTTTCCATGTCAGAGTAGACAAGAACCAGATTTGGGGTTGTACCACAGTCAAGCAATTTCTTCCTCCTTGGCCTGCTTCCAACCTAGCCCAGGCAAAGCATCAGAAGTCTCATTCTGTTTCTCCAATTGCCTGTCAGGTCATCCCCCTCATTAGAGTAGCAAAGATACTTCTATTAGGTACATGCACCCTGAGACCAAGAGAAAACTTGATTCTCTAAATGAAATGAATAAATGCATAGCATGACATTACCCTAAAGCCCTAGGCAGGAATAAAGTTGACAGAGTGGGCAGCTCCAGAGTTGAAAACTATCTAGAAAGGCCTCAGAGATGTTTACGAAAGTCAGAATCAGGTATCACTGGGCTATTAACCAGCATCAAAGTGCTCTCATTGTCCCCTCTAGTGCACTCTGGGTTTCCTCTCACAGAAACGCCTATGAGGCCACTGAAACACACCTAAGCCTCACAGGATGTTAAAGAAGTAATATAACATTTATCCAGTCCCCATCTGTGCCTGCTATCTGCTTGAAGGAGCCAAAGCATTATGTCACTAGCATTGCAAACAGAAATAAAGAAAGAAAAAATACCGGACCATTTAGAAATTCCCTTTCCAAGTTGAAAGCCATTGTTAATACTCAGCTACTCCACAGAAAATGTGGATACTGGCCTGATGACCTACAAAGGAACTCATGTTTCCTATGGAAGGATGTAGAAGTAGGGAGCAGTCACAATGAGCTACTATTTTTGCCTCCAATCAATCTGTTAGTGGAGATCCATGGACCAACCCCTAAGTGGTATCCCTTGAAGTACCATTGAGTCTTCTTAAAAAAACACACAAAACAAAACAAAAAACACTGTCATCGAGTCCATTCCAACTCATAACAACCCTATAAAGAGTTTCTGAGCCTTTAAATCTTTATAGCAGCAGACTGCCTCATCTTTATTTCGCTTATGGAGCAACTGGTGTATTTGAACCTCCAACCTTGCTAACCCACAGCACCACCAGGGCTTCTATTCATCTGAAAAGTATTTATTAAGTATCTATTATGTGTCAACCATTTTAAATATACGTTCTCATTTGATTCTCAAAACAGCCATGCATATTTTCAGTTTGCAGCTGAGACTACTGAGTCTCAGAAAGATAAATGAGTTGGTCAATTTGTAAGTGTCAGAATTGAGATCTGAATATCAGCCTAACTCAAAGTCCATTTTAACAATGCCAGGAGGGTGAAGCCAATGACACAAATTGCTAGGTCCCAAGTTTCATGTGCAAGTGTGATTCTTTCAACACATCACTTCACCTTTCTGGGCCTCAGTTTCCTTTCCTTTAAGGTGGAAGAGATTTTGTTGAACAGATTTCTAAGTGTATCTACACATTCAATATTTCCATAGTGTGATTAGTACTTTAAAACATATGATGAGGTTTCAAAAAGTTCATGGGGAACTGGAGTTAAAAGACTATGGAAGAAATACAACCATAGAAAACTTGTAAGTCCGTCTTCTGCCAATAACTGATTGGAATACCTAAAAGGGGGATACAATGTGCCCAGTGAAGGAGGCTTCCTACGAAGCCCCTGCATTACACAAGACCATAGATGGAATCCTGAACAGCATCCAGAATCTTCTGAAGGGAAAGGTCCACTTGAAAGGAGAAGCAGAACAGCCTGGAGTGGCTAGAAGAACAGAGGATATGTCTTGAAAGACAGACTGACAAGATAAATACAAAATAATATAGGCAGGCCGACAGATTACTACAAGAACAAACAAGTGGCTTGCCAAGGAGACATCAAGGCAAGTGGTCGGGTCCCCCTCAAGGCACACCCCCTTCAAAGACTAAGGCTCAATGGGAATGCATGTTCTGATTGGTGACCACGTTCGTCATTGATAAGGGGAAGAGAGAGAAAAACAGCAATGAAGATGAGAGCTAAGCCCTACAATGCTCAATAGACTCTTGTGAACCTGGATGGAGACCTGGTTGGCCAGCAGTGTGCCAAGTCCAGGGGACTCTTGGACCCAGAGTCAGTGACATAGCCACAGAGGACTAGAGTGGAGAGTGAAGCATCCAGCTGATAGGAAGAGAGGACACATGCATAAGTACACCCACACTTGCAGACAATACCCACTTGACATGGCCTCAATGGCTGGAGGATCAGAGCCCAAACAGAAGAAGAAAGAAGAGGGAAGAAAAATTAATCTGATTCAATTTGATGAACTTGACACACACATATGGAAGCAATAGATCAAAAGAGTGAACAAATCTTCACAGTGAGGATCATTCCCACCTCCTCCACACACGGAGAGGACAGGGATGGGCAACTTGGACATTGGCTACCCAGAATGGGGCGGATACAGAGGCAAGAAATGGCTGGCTTACAAACTTTCAGGAGGGAACCTAGATCCAGAGGGCATGGAGCAAAGTAGAATTTCCACTGAGTAATATCCATTCTGCCTAGTCA